CCCCCCGGGGTTATTCTGCCCCTTCCCTGCCAGGGGCGACAGCAGCTCCACTGGGAGCCTGAGGAAGCTTCGTTTCTGTCCACTGAAGAGCCACTTGCCCTTCTTCCGTGGTGGACAGATTCTTGGGGGTCGCCTGCCCAGGCCTGCGATGGTCATGCTCCTGAGCCATGGTGCATGATGGGGGAACGGGCCAGGGCCCAGGAGCAACCACATGGCCAGGCACCCCCTCTGCCGCCCCTTCCCTACTGCTGTCGGCTTTATTTCCGAAAAGGCCTTGGTTGTAAGAAAGGAAGCTGCGCCTGAGCCAGCCCCTGCCCCTCGCTAGCTGGCCCACACGGGAATGGCCTCTCTCCTGTGAGCAGCATGGGGCAGCAGGAGCAGATTCAGAGAGAAAAACATTTCACATCCCCTGCCGGGAGCAGAGGTGTCACTAGGGCAGCCCTGCTTCCCCAGGCCCAGGCTGACCCCCTGGGAATTGGGGGGTCCCAGAGCCCTGCAGGGAATGCGAGGGGGAGGGGGCGTCCTCCTCCTGGAGCTGAGCTAAGCTCAGCACACAGCTCAGGACTGCCTGCGAGGGGGAGGGCCCAGAAGAGAAATAAAGAAAAGAGGGAGGGAGAGGAGAAGGGGGCAGGGAGGGAAGGGGGTAAGAGCAGCTGGGACAGAGTGGGGAGGGCAATGCTACTTCATCTGGTACTTGCATGCAGGGCACAGTCCCACCAATCCCTGGACCCCTGTGATCCAGACCCTCCCCGCTCCCATTTGAGGTTTGTCTTCAGCAAACCCCATTTGCGGCAGCCCTGGCCCCATGCAAAGCAGCAGGGGGCTCTGCCCTCCCGCCCCACAACTGCATGGACTCTCAGTGGCAATGGGGTGGAGGAGGGGCGTGGCAGCAGGCTATTTACATCGGAACAGTCCTTCAGCCGCAGCACCGGCCTCCACAAATCCAGAGCCAGGCTCCTGTGTGCAGCGCCCCCCGAGCCAGCCCACTCTCCCCGGTGAAGCCACAGCTGCAGGACCCCCCGAGACACAAACCCAGCCCAGCCTCTGGGGACCAGAAGGGAAGCAGCCAGCGTGTTGGCTGCAGTGGCAACACGCACTCATGTCCACGGGAGGCGAGTGGGCGGCACCCCCCTCGCTCTCCACAAACGCATGGTCCTGCAATTTGGCACAACGCGCGAGCCCGCGAGGGCTCACAATTAAAGACACAAAGCAGCAAAGTCCAGACTGGAATGTTGCATCTGCTACTGGCTCTCCGGGCAGGCCACGGACCCAATCCCAGCCGCACAAGGCCCCGAGTCCCAGGAAGCACCAGGCACCTTCAGAGGCTTAGTCCATTCAGCACGGAAGTCGAGCTTGGTGTGTAAAAATCCGCGACAGCAGAGGGGGCCGTGTACAATCCATCCCCCCGGGAGACGGCGCTACACCAGAGCTGGGCTCAGACCCGCAGGGGGAGGCTCCGACTTGGCACTCTGGTCGTCAGCGTAGATCCGAGGGTGAAAAATTCTTGCCACCTGGGCTTTGGCGTCGAGATTCCAGACGCATCCTAGGAGCAGCGAATGGATCCCTCCCGGCTCTGGAGCGGATCTAGAACCTGGCCCGCACTCATCTGCTTCTAATCCAACTCCTCACCCTTGGGCGGGTTGAATCAGTCTCTGGGTCTCGTCCATCTTCAATCTTCTCTAGCCCAGGGATTTACAAACTTTCTTCCTCGCAACCCAGCACTGGGGGGCCTGGCTGGAGGGGGACCAGCAGCGGTGCTAAGGCAGCTTCCTCCTGCCCTGGCCC